TATTGAACTATGGATGGGACAGTAGTGAAGCGAACAATGAGCACTGTCAAATAGAATGTAGCAATCTTTGACCGAAGTCAAAAGTTTTTGTGAGATGAGATTAATTATTGGAGGTTGTTTTTTTTAACCATTCGTTGACAAGTTCTGTCCAGTTATATTGATTGAGAAAGTGAAGAACAGGAGCAATAGAGAAGAGACGTCCCATTCGATAGACTGATACGTATAAACTGATAGAGCTGGGATGAAAAAGAGAGATGACGTTAGAATGAAAAGATTTGTAACAAAGTATTCAACAGAAAGAGGAAGCATGGTTAAGAGAGCGTGATAAAGAAACAATTTAGTACTAAAAATATTTAAAAAAAAAACTTTATTGAGTGAAATAGCATCGATTATATTGAAACAATCATGTAATTAATTTTTAATTGATGTAGATTAACATTAATAAATTTGTGCTATTGGAAATATTTTTATTGCTTCTGTTTAGCGCAACTTTCATTCTTATAGCATGCTCTGTGCGTTATGGTCCAATCACTTTTGTAGGGCGGGAGAAGCGGGGGGGGGAAGTTTGTAATATGAGAGAAGGCTTCTGTGCTGCATTTTCAAAAGTTTTTGTTTTTTTAAAGTTGTTCGAGTCTGAATTCGAGCTAGAGCCTCCACCATTAGAGGCCACTTAGCTATTCAAGTACATATAAAAATAGAAGGTTTTGTAGTTATCTATCGGTAGTTTCAGATTTTTTAACGAAAGACCATTAAATTCTCTAATTGGTTAATTGTTTCATTGGTTCATGTGTTCACATCGACAATGAATAATTGTGTAAAGTTTCAACTTGACCAAAAGTGACTTAATATAAGCTTTGTAAAAAAAGTAGGATGTAGAATGTAGAAGAAAGCTTGATGAAGATTAAGTAAAGCATTACGAAAGAGAAGGCAATATGAATGAGAAAGAAAGCATGATGCAGCAGAAATACATAATAAAGACGACAGCTGGAAAGCGTGGTATGAATTTAAAAAGACTAGATTTACAGTTCATATAAAACAACCAAGACCCAACACTATAGCGAACGCTATGCGAACAAGAACATAACACAGCCAGCTAGTTAGACTCCACTGAAAGTAGGGCACTCATGTGACAGCACATGATAACAGGAGGCAGGCTCTAGTCATTGTCAGAATGGGAAACCTCAACGCCTTTCAAGTTCATAGCCTTTATCTAGTTCTGGATCTAGGTCTAGGAGGCGAACAAAGTCTTCTAAAAGTACATTTCTTGTCTTGGCTGTTAGCGTCCTGGCACTACTCCACCTACCAATAGAATGTTTTTTTAATGCGCTTTTCGTACGAATCCAAAGTCTTTCCACCCTCTCTCTCCCGACACACGGAATGACGGGTTAAAAAAAAAAAAAAAAAAGCAGTTGAACTTGTACACAAACCAGGTCGATGGTTCTCAAGCTGCTCTATCTCACCCACGAGCTCTCTATTTACCACCGTAAATCAATGATTTGCTTATATGATTAAAACACAATGTTGATCAATAATCTATACCAGTGACACTCATCCATTCCACAACAAAACCTGAAACGGTCCAAATGTTGAGGACCGTTGATACCCGAGGTAGAAAAAAAAATGGGACGGAGGAGGAGGAAGGGGGGTGGGAGGGGAGACCAACCCTTACATCACATTGCTGTTGGGGCTCGTGATTTTAGTGAGACCAACATGTGTAACATTTCTTTTCTGCTGTGACGGCTAGATTTTAATCTGGGTCACTTAAGCCGTAGTGTTTACCAAATAGCTGGCAACTCAAACTCTGTTAATAACACTCAAGTAAAGTTCCCCTTTCAGACCTTGGGGTCTATGGGGAATCTGATATAAAAATCACCTGTTTCTGTGGCTCACGGTTTACGAGGGTGTCATGTGACCAGCACAACGACCAAGCGCCTCTTACTTTCTCCAACTAGCGCCAGGATTCGAACCTGGGGCTCTCGGTTTTGGAAGGCAATCGCTTTACCACTAAGCCACCGCGCCTCCCTCAATACCACTGCCTGAGATACATTCTGACCTGGATCCGCAGCGAGCTGAGAAGTCCAAAGAAAAGAAAAACAAATAAACCACGATTGTGTTTTGAATATGTTTCAAGCGCAACGATAATTAGGGTATCGATCCGATTGTTTTGAATGTGTCAATGTGTGACACCAATGAACGCAATCATTCACAAATACGACACATGAAGAAGGCATCGATACACACGAGGGGCTGGACTTGTTTGCAATGATACGAATGCGTTTAGTGTCAAGCTATGTCTCACGTTCATTTACGCCAGGGGTTCTAAGCCTGTGGGTCGCGACCACCCCCTACGGGTCGATTGACGATTAGCCCGGGTTCGCCTAAGACCATTGAAAATATGGTTTGTTATTGTCCATTCTTCTATTGCTGTATGTGGTTGGGGGGGGGGGGGGTCGCCGCAGAGTTGGGGATTGTAAAAAGGGGTCGCCGAGCATAAAAGGTTAAGAACCGCTGATTTACGCTCACAACAAAACGAAAGTGGAATTATGGCCATAAATATGTGCAGCTAGGATTGCAACTACATTTTAGGGAATTCACATGCCTGGACTAACGATTGCAAAAGTCGACCGCTGGACGAGTTTCTATATTTTGTGTATTTGATGCCACGAAAATACCAATGAAGATATGTTACACAGATCGACATTTTAAATAGGTTAATGGCAATCCAGCACTGAGTACCGGCATCTATTTGTTTTACAAAAAAAAGCACTCTCTCTCTCTCTCTCTCTCTCTATATATATATATATATATATATATATATATATATATATATATATATATATATTCTTACATACACAGAGACATGCAAACGCCTATATTGGGTAGGGTTTCATTTGTATAGTGACCTTAGTATTTAAAAATAGAACTGCCGGGACAGAAACGGTTACGGAAGCATGTTTTTTTACGGGCTCTAAAGACCCAGTTGTGGTTTAGGTTTCTCTATTTGCTATACATATACCTCTGCTCTGTTCTCCAAATAAATAGATCGTGTCAATTGACACTAAATGAAGAAACTTGACCACGATCATGTGATTCTAGATTTAACTGTCAGAGAATACGTTGCTATCTGTATGTTATAAATTCAAAAGAAGATATTACGTCGTACGCGTATCTATGTGTTAATCTACGAGTACATATTAGTTAGAGACTTAAACTCTGCTAAGTCATTGGTTTTCCTGTCTGATTCGGGCAACCCGTTCCATGCTCTAATGGTGATAGACTAGTTAGTTTTTAGACCATGGTTGATACCGACTAACTAAGAATGTGATACAGCTTTGGCTGGAATCAGTCCTTAAGCTATTCTTGTAAACCTGAGTGATATTTCCTTGTGTAATAAACACGCTCAAGCTAAGTCTGACATACGCTCAAGCTAAGTCTGACAAAGTCTGCATTGGCCGAAGCAGGTGAGATCAAATCAATAACATAGCATCAAGAAAATGTCTGTTGCCACACAAGAAGACACAACTTCTAAAGAATATACACATAGCTTCTTCAGAACATACACACAGCTTCTTCAGAACATATACACACACACACACCACACACAAAAACATGGACCCGAATTTAAAAGCAAAATAACAAAAAGGCCAGATTAGGACTCACAAGCGCTTCCAAACGTCTGTTACAACTGTCCGCGGCGTCTCTCAGCTAGAATTATATAGTAGAGTCAGATGGTGAGAAGTGACAGCGTCATGCATCAGCGTTAAATGTCCAGAGTTCGAACAGACTGCATCTTATCCCTCAGTGTAACTAATAGCTCTAGATTCTAGATGTATGGCGATTGTTCCACCACCCACAACGAGGCTGATTACGTCATGAATGAGATCCAGAGCAGACGACAGTCATCCTTGAAACAGATCACGTGCACAACAGACATAACGAAACTGCAGCTATTAACAAACAAAAAGGGGAGGGGACTTTCGTTCACTTTGCAAATAATAGCTCACCACTCGCTAGATAACGGCAGCAAAGGTAAAAACAAGTCATAGATCTCTCTTGTTTACGAATGTTGAGCCCTTGTCAAGTTGGTCTCTCCATTGTGTACAAACTTTTGTTCTGATTTGTTTGAAATAAGGAAGTGATTTCCTCACGGCATTGCATTGTTTGTATTGACGGAGTCACGAGCTATTCAAGAGGAAAGTGCAACGGAACGAGAGAACAGGCCCCGGCAAGGGGGAGGGGGAGGAATCGCAGGGAAAGATAATCTTGTTCCCAATGAGAGCTAATTGTGTCGGACGAGTGAGTGCCCTTGGTTTTAAGGTATTGCGATACGGTGTACTTTTCACGTCCATATCAGCGGCTGGACAGTCTTACATTGATCAAAAGGGACGCGGTGGAGGGGGGGGGGGGGGAGCTACAGGGATGCATCGCAAGCCGGTCACTCAGGAGAGATTAAATCGTCTATATGGGCGGGGCAGTGAATGGTGGCGATGGGCATTTTTAGCGACCAGTGTTGACACTAATGTCCAAGTAAGAAAGATTTAGCCAGCCAAAGTAAATAGTACAAGAACTGCTTTGGAATAGTACACATAACCTCGGCAATGTACAGGACGTCGATAATCTGACCTTTCTGGACGTAGGTTTCTAACTATCCCGTAACCCCCCAGAGGATCATTATTGGTGCACACGTGACATGGCCAGCCCGGCGATTCCTTGGGTAAACGAAAAACTAAAACCTTGGTTTGGCCAATCAAAATCGTTTAAAATATATTTCAAACCCTGGAGAACTGACCAGACTCCAGTCATCTGGAAGTAAGGTTATGTCTGAAAGAAGCTAAGGACAATAGCATCTGCCCACCCTCCCCCACTAGTCTAGCAGCTATGAGTAATGACGTGCAAATACCATATTGAATATATATATATATATATATATCAGCGATATATATATATATATATATATATCTTATACAAGTTGCTTTATTCTACATTTACTGCCTTATCTATTAATACTGCCAGATGTAGATTACTACTAATAAATTAACCAATCGATTAATTTTTTGATTGATTCATGTGTTTTCATCGACAATGAATAATTGTGCAAAGTTTCAACTTTCAAAAACGCAGACAGACAGACAGACAGACAGAGTGAGTTCTATAAGTTTGTAAAAGACAAGACGACTAAGGCAATATATGAGTTGGATAAACCGAGTGACTTTGTTCTTTAAGTCTTAACACCACATGAGGGGAGAGTCAGTACAACCAGCAAGATTGGGTACTCCTTGATATGTAGGCCTACTGGCAATTGGCGTTGATCGTCCTACTTTATACTCATTTTCTTTCCTCTAAGGATGTGCTTGTGTAGATTGTAGATCAACGGTCCTCACATTCTGATTTCTTCTTTCCCAGTAATACAATTATATTTTTTCCCCAAATGGCAATTTGACTTGAAAAAAAAAAAAAGGTGCCAGAATGTATTTTATTTGGAAAGATTACATTCCCCTATCACACACATCGCGATCGAAAGACGCCGGGAGACAATGCAAATCGATATTTAATTATTCTGTTGATATTTTTAATCTCGAAGGCGGCAGAACAAAAAATCGTTTTTCTTTCCTCTGAGTGTAAAGTCGGCTCCGCATGGAATGACGTGAACATTACATAAAAACGATTTCCATGGTGGATAAGTAGAAGAACTGTTGGCAATAACTTTGAAATTGCAAATGTCAGGAAGAGAAGTGAGCACACGCCCATAGATGACATGCTTCAACACTATCACACGACAGTATCCAAAGCGTAAGTTAGAGGGCGCCCGAAGGGGGGGGGGGGGGGGCGCGCCTTTAAAGACCAGTTCTGTCATCAGCTTGGCCCTACAACAGGACAACAGCTAGCAGCAACCGCCTCCAGAAATAGAGGAACTGCTACAAATGAACGCAACCAATACATTGGAGACCCAAAGAAAAAACGCCCAAGAAAATTCAAAAAGAACATTCATTCTGAGTGTAGGGAGAGCACCGTTCAATTACTGCTATATCTCTCAAAATTGCAAGGTTTATCGCCCATTTTTCTAAATAAAACAAAATTAATAAATAAACACAAATTATTTAATAGTTGTTTTTTAAATCGGTTCGCGTGATGTCGACAATAAATATTTGTGAAATATTGCCTCCCCCCCCCCCCACCCCCCCAACGATCCGAGAATAGGAAGTGGGGGAAAAAGTGTAAAAGAATCCCAAGACAGACTAAGTGAGTTAATATAAGCTTTGTAAAGACCCCCGGCAGACATGTCCAATACGTAATCACAGATGCGTCTATGTAGCCACGTGAGCCACTGCACTCTACTTTAATCTTTCGAGTCAAAGACAATACCTTATTATACACACAAGCCGGCACACCCACATGCTCACACACACACACAACAATCATATGGTTGCGATGATAATAATAGCTCGGTATACCTGGTCAGATTATATTTAGCGACAAGATACGACTAAAAGTGCTCGGTTACTAAGATTAAAACAAAGAAAACTTCAGAATTACTAGTGAGATTCAAATGCATGCAAACATACATTATATACATTACATACTTACATACATACACACATACATACATACATACATACATACATACATACATACATACATACATACAGAAGTCACATTAAAATGATCAACAGGCTAAACACACAAAAAAGCACACCATTTCTTAAAGTAGTAAACATTTTAAAAAGACAAGAAAGGGGTGCAATAAAGTGCATGAACAGAAAACCATTGACATGTTATTAGATATTAATTTACATAAATAAAAAGAGTGTAAACAGGAGGTAATTCAAAATATATAAAGCACTTAAACACTGCGCCATTTAAACTAATAGTAAAAGTGGTGAATCCACTAGATACCAACAAAACTACCAGCAGAACAGAGCAGATACAAATAGCAGTCAAAACTAAGGCACATGCCGAGTCCAAAAAAGTCAAAGGCACAATCTGGTTGTTAGATGGCATTACAGTGTTAAGCCA